GCACCCCACCAGACCCACATCCCCTCCCGCCCCTGCCTGCACCCCACCAGACCCACAGCCACCCGACCTGCCTGCCTTGACCAGACCCCGACACCTTCCACCTGTGCCCTGCCAGACCCCTGGCTCCCCCGCTCCTGCCTGCACCGCCCAGACCCGCAGGCCCTGCCCACGGGCGGCCACTCACCAGGACCACCTTGATGATGAGGTGCTTCTCGTAGGCGCTCTCCAGCCGGTAGTTCTCTAGAGACCGAGGAGGATGGTGAGAGGCAACCCCGCCCCCTAGGGCAGCGGGGACCCGAGGGTCAGTGGGACCTGCAGGGCGTACCCATGTCGTTGAGCCAGATGGCGAGCTTCTTGTAGCCCTCGGCGCTCACGCTGACCAGCAGAGCCAGCACGACTTTGGGCAGGAAGCGGACCAGGCGGGGCAGCCCTTCCACACTCAGCACCAGCTCCTGGGGGTCAGAAGGCTCAGGTTCGCCTGAGGCACACTCACCTGCTGGCAGGCTTGGGGGCTGCCCAGTGAGGCTGGGTGGGGGCAGGGTACCTGCAGCTGGAAGCAGCCGAGCATGAGCACGAAGACGCCCAGGAGGCTGGCCAGGCACAGCGGGAGGCTCACAAGCAGCTGGAAGAGCAGCCGCTTCCAAGGCGGGTAGTAGAACTCCTCGGCCCGTGTCACCGGGCTGATGCGTCGCACCCCCTGCCAGCGGGTGGGGCCCAGCGTGAGGCCAGAGGGGCCACCCTCCTTGGCCCCCAGCGCGTTCCCATGCCGTGCCTCGGCCCCCAGCGTGTCTGGCCTTGTGCGCCTTCCAGTCCCTCCGGTCGGATGCCCACCCGGCCCCGGGGAGCCCAACTTGTTTGGAGGCAGCGGTGCCCCCCTTTGCCCTGCTTGCTCTCCACCACTCTGAACTCAGCCCCACTTAACCCTGAACTGAGGACGCGGCTCCTCCACAGCTTCCCCAGGTGAGTCCAGCGTCCCCCACTTGTAGGCCAGCTCAGCACCCCTCCGCTTCCACTCCTCCAAGAACAGCGTCGACCAGATCACGTTGAAGAGTGCAAAGACCACGCAGGACACATCCCGACTCGTCTTGGGGGGCGGGGGACAGTTAAGCCATCGGCTGGGCCAGCCCAGGGAGGGTGCCTCTGGGTTCCCGGCCCCTGCCCGCTACCTGGTCGGCCTCCGTAAACGTGTACAAAACAGAGCCGAAGACGGCCGGATACACCATCGCCGACGTATAGAAGCCCAGCCAGGCAAAGTACATGGCGATCTTCACGCCAAAGTAGTCGCAGATGTCGTCTACCGGAGGACAGAGTGGTCCCAGTCATCCCCTGCCTGCCGGCTGGAACCCCGGCCAACCCCCCTGGTCCAGGCCACACCTAGAGGCTGGTTCTCACACACGGCCTGCACCCACGACTTCATAAGGCGATTCAGGATGCGCTGCTCGTGGACCGGGAACACCTGCTGGATGATCCCGCGGGCCGCCAGCTCGGGGACTGTGGGGGCATGAGCACAGGTGACCCCCGCCCCTCCACCATGAACCGCACCTGGCTAGTCGCTTCAGTCGGGACCCAAGTCACAGCTTTTCACCTGCTCTTAAACCCATAGGGCTCTTCCCGCGGGGGGGAGGGGGGGGAACATCTGGTTCGCCTTCAGGATTTGGAGGGGGCAGGGCCAGGCAGTTAAGTGTGCAGGGAAGGAGATCGTTCCTGATGGGGAGCTGTGTTCGTTAAAGCTATTTGGTCTCAGTCTGTGACCCGAACGTCAGGAATGGCGGAAAGTTGGCGTCAGCAAGCGGACTGGGGTTGGCTTGTTTCCTGTCAGGAAAACAAAGGCCCAGGGCCAACTGCGCAGTCCCGGAGCGCTGTCCATGGTCCCCGCCTCTGCCTTACTCCAGACAGAACCAGAGAGGGGCCTCCTGGCCACGCCTCCTAGGAGAGAAGCCCCACCCTCTTGCGAAGACCACACCCCTTATGCGCGGGGCCGGGCTGGCTCCAGC